TTCTGTAAGGGGATGTCCAGTTGCCTACAGATGGACTTTGGGTCTCCACTCCACACTCAGCATCTCATGATCACACATGTTGGTATGCTTCTTCCATGTGGGCTTTGTTACTTCTCAACTAGATGGTCGCTTATTTATCTTCAAGCCTTTAAGACCCCAGATGCTATACCTTTTGATAGCCGGGCACCATCTGATTGTAGGTCTTTTTAAAAGTTGACATCTGTCTCCCTCAGAGCTGCTGGTGGTTTCGAACTGCTGCCCTTGTGGCTTGCAGCGCAACTCATAACCCACTATGCCACCAGGGATCCTTGAGGGAGATGCGTATAAGACCAAGCCAAACCAAACATCCTGCCAGCCAGTTGATGCTGACTCAAAGAAAACCTATAGGACAGGGTAGGACCGTTCTGTGAGTTTCTGAGACTGTAACTTTGTGAGCATAGAAAGCCCCATCTTTCTCCCTCAGAGCACCTGGTGAGTTCAAACTGCTAACATTGCGGACTAAAGCTCGATGTGTAACCAGGGCCCCTGTGGTTATAGTAGAAGTACATTAAACACACGGTGCTGTAAGAGTCTCTTGGAGGACTTCCTGAAGGAGGTAACTCCTGCCTGCACTGTCAGGTTAAGCAGATGTTACATCGGACAAGCCTTATTTTCTTTCCTGGAGTCAGCCAGCCTCTGACCACAGGCCTGGATCCCGCCTGCCTTGGATAAGGCCTCGCTGGAGGCTCTACAATGACAAGCATCCAGATTCCTCTGCCATCACCTCTGTTACAACTCATATACGTTTCCCAGATGGCTGCAAACCCTGCTCGACCGCATGCCCTCCCAGGGTCCACTGCTGCAGGTCTCAGCCCGGTGGCTTCCAGAATGCCCACTATGACATCTAACAGTGATGCCCACCCACAGCTAGGGGCCCATGGGCCTGAGTGCCTAAGAGACACCACCTTCCGTAACCCACAAACCAGGCCTGCCTGGTAGGAACCTGCTTGTATAGCCCCCCTTCCCCAAAGCCAAGCCACTGCCCTCTCTCCCGTCAATTCTGACTCATAGCGACCCTGCAGGACAGAGTAGAACAGGGCCACCGAGTTTCCAAGACTCAGTGCATCTTCTTTCTCCTGGTTTTCAGTCCAGTGTGAGGCCGCAGGCCCCATCGCCCCCTGTCTGCTGTCTTGACCAAGCACACAACCCTGTCGGTCCCGCTCAGCTTGTGCAATGCAGACCCAAGGGGTCCAACTCTCTAATTACCTGCAGCGCTGAGCACAGCTGAGAGAGCGTCTCTTCAACAGCTAGGGCCTCTGGGAAGACAAGAAAAGTACACCGACTCATTAAATAGCCCCATATATATAAGTCAGGTTCTCGGGCTAAACCTGGATCCTGGAAGAGCAGCACCTCTCCTAGCTGCCTGTTGGGGCCATGTTTGCCGATGGCACTGTCCCGCCTGGGAGGTCCATGGGGACTGCACGTAGTCAGGCACCCAGCCTGCAATTAACCAAAAGGTCCATCCATCCAGGGCACATGGAAAGGCAGGCGTGGTGGCTGCTTCCAAAAGATTAGCCATTAGCACCCCCTACTAACACACTGGGGCTGGCCAGGAGTGCACTGCACAGTGGGAATGGGTGGTTTGAGAGTCCTGCTGGCATGCCAGGCGGCTTTATAGAGGGCATGGGTGAACGCCATCTCCCGGACACACGTCTGAGAAACTGCAGGTACCCGGGTGCATGCTCCCCCGTGTGGCGTGCAAAGGGGGCCTCTGAGCGTCTGGACGTGGTGAGCATCATATCGTGTTTCACACAAAATGACCCACATGGACTATGTTTGTTTGCCAATCATGGCTCCACCCGGACCCATCCAGGTATTTCTGTAAGTGTGCTATGCTAATTCGTTACTGGATAAAATCAACTTAAAAAATTAATAAAACAAATCCATTCCCCTCAAGGTAATGCCAACTCATAGCAACCCTGGAGGGCAGGACTACGTCTGTGGGTTTCCATGTTGTACTAAGTCTTTACGGGAGCAGACAGACCCCTCTTGCTCCCTGGGAGGGGTGGGTGCCTTCAAACTGCTGCCTTAGTGGTGAGCAGCCCAATCTGCTACTTGCGACACCACATGTAAAGGCTCAAAAGAGCTCTTAGCAAAACACCTTGAGGGAGAGGGCATGTTTGGGAAAGGGAGAAAGTGCACATGACATATTTGTGTAAAATACAAAGTGTGCGCGTGCGCACACACACATACACGCACACAGAGGGGTATAGTATCAGTCTATGTGATTTACATGGCCGTGGGCTTCTGTCCCCATTTTCCAGGTGGAAAACAGGAATCCAGGGCCAAGGGAAAGCCTGCTTCTCCCATCCCTGCCTCCAGACCCTCCACGTGGATCTCACTGCAGCAGAGAGCCAGGGCTCGGGGCACATGGAATTTTGCATCCACAGGTGAGGACCTGCTTGAGCTCTCTGGAGTCCAGGAAGCCCGCGTGGGACACTGCCACTTAGTCATGGTCCTGAGCTATCGGGGGCCTCTTATTAGGAGATTTTGAAGAATCAGGAGTCCTCCACCTGTGTCAGTGAGTCTGTTTGCTCCCTGAAAGACTTACAGTATTGGGGACTCTGTGGGGCAGTCCTATGGGATCATTCTGGGCCACGAGGAGTGCATGTGGCCCCACAGGAGAGGGTCTGTGTTGGGTTTGAGTCCCAGAGAGGAGGGTGGGCTGCTGGGTGAGCCCCCAGCTGGGCCCTTACCCAGCTCGGTACGCGGCAGCTCGGGGATGTCCCTCAGGATGAGCAGGAAGTATGTGTGCAGTCCTCGGGTGGCATGAAGCAGCAGGTGACACAGGCCCCGGTGCCACTTGTAGGCATGCTGCATGCAGTTCTCCGAGGGCACGTAGAAGCTCCCCTGCAGAGCGACAGGGCACACTGAGGACCTGGTACCAGCCCCTCCACCTGCACCCGCCAAGGCAGACCATGGGGCGGGCGGCCCAGGGACTCAGGCCTCCTCCTGACCAACCAGGGGACATGACTGATGGTTCCACATGACGTTTTCTCCGTCCCTCTGCCTGGCAAAATCCCTCCACCCACATCTCACTCTCACCGCATTGGCACCAAAGTAATAATGGGGGCAGATGACAAGGGCGATGGAGATGAGGGTGGCTGAAGGTGAAGATGGAGCTGGCATCCCAGTTGAGGAGAGCTGAGGGCAGCCACTCACAAGCCCCTCCACTCACGACCCCGTCCCCTAAGGTCAAGAGCAGACAGGGGTGGGCTCCTTTGCATGGAGAGGCAAGGACTCAGAAAGAGCCCTGTGGATGAGTGAGTCACCCATCATGTTTCTGACCTTGAGGTCGGCAGTTGAAATGCACCAGATGCTCCAGAGAGAGGAGGACAACAGGGCCTGCTCCGATAAAGACTCCCAATCTCAGAAGAACCAAAGGGGAAGTCCTACTTGCCCAATAGGGTTGCAGATAATCTGAATTGACTCAGTGGCGTTTGTTTGGGGCCTAGGTGTTTCTCGCAGCAGACAGGTGAGACCATCCCTGTGGCAAGGGCCTGCTGTCAGACTGGGTATGTGAGGGCGCAGCGTGGCAGGTTCGGTACGTACACTCCATGGTAGACACAGGCTGTGTGAGACCAGCAGAACTGGACGGATGGGCTTCCAGTGGGGAAGAATCCCCCCATCCACAGCGGCATGGAGGCCAAGCCATGACCACGAGACATCTGGCTTCCTTGCTAACCAAAGAGGGAAGGAGCTTATGATTGAGTGGTAAAAGAGGACTTTTGTTGTTAGTGGTGGTGTTTTCCTGAGAAGGGAGAAAGGGATCTTGGAAAATTGGTTCCCAGACAATAGAAATAAGGAAGCTCGTGAGTCATGTGTGTTTGGTGTTTGGGTGGTGCCAATAGTCAAGTACTCAGTGACTAACTGCAAGGCTAGTGGCTCAAGTCCATCCAGAGGCATCTGGAAGAAAGTTCTGGAGATACACTTCCAAAAATCTAACCCTGGGGACTCCTGGGGATCCCAGCTCTACCGGACACACATAGGGGGTGGAGTGGATTCCGCGGCAACTGGTTTAGCTCTCCCTGCTTCGTGTCTTGGTGTTCTACATAGTGTTCTGGACGGCTCCCATCACAGGAACTCCCGTTCCCTTCCAGCTCCCATGGCTGTGCTGGGAAGAGATCTTGGCTCTTCCGGCTTCCTGGGCTGCCGTTGGGCTGCTCCCTGCGTGACAGACACTGAAACAAGGCGTGGCGTTGATGGGACTCCACACGCTTGGTGGGATTTTGAGCTGGCCTCCATAGCTGACCACACAGCGGCCACCTCCTGCTCTGCCTGCTCGCCCCGCTCCATGCTGCCCTCTCAAGTGCTGAGCTGGCCATCAGGTGCAGGGCGAGTGTGTCCAGTCTGAGATGGCAATACTAGGATTGGTGTCACCCAGTGATTCATGGGGGCCCCGCTCCGCCCCCCCCCCCCCAATGGACCTCTTCCTGTACCTGATCACATCAAATCCTTAGAAATATCTGCTGACCTTTTCAACCAGAGAGTAAATACTAGGTGACCAGTATTATTGTATGTTGCTTAAAAGAATGCCTGATCTGGGCTCACAAACAGCGATCACCACAATATCGCAACCAACACACCAGGCATTTGAACACCCAGTGACTGTAGAAACACAGGCGGCCAGGCAAGCGACAGGGCCTGCTTACAACCCTTGTTGATGAAACCATGTGACTGGGCAGTCATGTCAATTAGCATGGCGTTTCAGCTTGGCAGGGATCTTAATACATGTTAACTAGGCTTATGTACAAACAAACAAGCATGTTTTTGTTGTTATAACTGACTGCAGGCATATATTTAATAAAAATTAACACATTGTTGCTGACACAAGATGTACTTTCCAGACAGTCATTTCCCTCAGTGTCCCTTGCCATGGCACCCCCTTTGTATCCCCCCTGATGATGCCCCAGTGGTGCCACAGAGGCAGGCGATGGCAGGTGCATGCTTTGAAGCCTGCTCTGAGGAGAGGTCACGTGGGCAGAGAAGGCTGGGTGGGATCCCAAGTGTGCCGTCCCACAGCGCCTAGCTGCTCTTGGGTCGGTTCTCTAGGAAAGGAGGCCAAGGCAGAGATGCACCTGCAGCCAGTCATGGGCTGTGCCCTTGGTATGAACACAATGGCAGCAGGGACCTGCACAGCCACACCGTCACTGTGAACACCTCCACTGATCCCAGAGTGGGTCTGGACCCATGGTGGCCCCAGAGGGGACAGGAGAGCAGGGCTTTAGGTTCTAGAAAGGATCAACATTGGGTGGGGCTTACATGGGGCGGGGGTAAGCATGGCTTTGGGGCATCACTCTTCCCAGGCTGCTCAAGTCCCGGAGAGTGGCTTGTCCAATGGCTGCAGGGACTGCCTGGGTGGGGACTGGGTGCTGGAATGGGCTAGACTGGGTGCTTCCGGTCTGTAGAATGGACTCCACATCATGGAGTCCTCTACAAACCTTCTGAGGACTCCTCGGCACCCCAGGGTCTCTCTTCCCGAGTTATGTAAGACAGACCCTCAACAGGGTCTGGAAGGCAAACCTGTGTCCATTCACAACCACACACTTCAGTCCGAGAGCACGTCTGTGGCCATCAGGCAGTCGGGGTGATCGGTGCATTCCATGCCCCACCTGTCTCACTCTGCCAGGCAGAGAGCAGAGATGCCAGCAAGAAAGGAGGGGGGAGGGAGGCAGGCAGAGCTTGCATATGGCAGAGAACATGCCCTCCTGGCCAGCTCTGAGCAGGGAAGACGCAATAGTTTCTGAAATGGCTACAGAGGTGTACACCAGATCTCATCTGATCTTCAACATGCCCCATGTCAGGCAAACACTCTTATCTGGATTTTTCTGAAAAGGATACAGATGCAGTGAAAATCAGCAGCCACCGCAACACCACTCCCCCGAGTTCAGTCTTCCATTTTTCTTTCTTTCTTCCAGAGAACCCATTCAGAAAGGCCTCAGCAGTGAGCAATCACCCAGACAAGGGAAACTGTCCACATGGGCCCCCAAAAGGGGCAGATGGCATCCCAGTGCAATCACTCTGGTTGTTTTTTCCCAATATTTCCAAGTACATATATTCTTATGTCTCTGTGTATTCACTTAATGAATGTCTATTTTGAAAACACACACACACACACATTAGGATATGCCTTAGATGTGTCTCTGCCCTCTTGTTTTTCTCACTCAGCCCCTCTTGGAGATCTCTCTGAACCAGCTCCTTCACTAAGTGGTAGGAACTCCTCTTCCCGTCGCATTGATGACAAGGCAGAGGCTGAAAGGATTAAACAACTTGCACAAAGTCACTCTGCTTGCTAGCAGAAGCAATGATTCTCAAGATGCAGGTGCAAAAATCTCTCAAAAGCCACAGATGTCTCTGAGAACAATAAGGGGCAGCTGTTCCAGCAAAGGCCCCCTGGCTTTGACGGAGGCCTCCAGTAAGTCCCAGGTAGCTCCATTAGTGGTGACGAAGCAGAAAGGTGATGGCTTGTGTTTTATTGATGACGCAAAGACATTTGACTGCATGAATCATCACAAACTATGCATAACCCTGAGAAGAATGAGAAATCTAGAACGCTTCATTGTGTTCACGGGGAGCCGATACATAAGTCACCACGGAGTCATTCAAACAGAACAAGGGGACACTGGGTGGTTAAGAATTAAATGAAGGTTTAGAGCAAGGTTAACAATTCTGTGGTTAGAAATCACAAGGAAGGTGACCATCAGGGTTGTATCCTCTCACCATACTCCTTCAATCTGTATGCTGAGCAAGTCATCCAAGAAGCTGGCTTATACGAAGAATGCAGCATCAGGATTGGAGAAAGGCTCATTAACTTGCGAGATGCAGATGATACAACCTTGCCTGCCAAAAGTGAGGAGGACTTGAAGCACGTGCTAATGGAGATCAAGGACTGGGGCTTTCAGCATGGATCACAACTCAGCGTAAAGAAAATCAAAATCATCACAACTGGACCAGTGGGTAACATCACGAAAAGCGTAGAAAAGATGGAAATTTTCAAGTAGTTCATCTCGCTTGGATCCCAATCAAAGCTCATGGCAGCAGCAGTCCAAAGGTCAAGCAACACACTGCACTGAATAAATCTGCTGCACGAGACCTCCTTCGAGTGCTGAAGAGCAAGTCTCACTTGGGGGATGGTGGTGCACCGGACTCAAGTCGGACACTGAATAAGGAAGTTCAAAGAAGAATGGAGACATTTAAATTCTGGTGCTAGGGAAGAATACTGAAGGTACCGTGGACTATCCAAGGACAGAGTCTTAAAAAGAAGTATAGCCAGAACGCCCCTTGTAAACAAAGATGAGGAAACCTCTTAAGTATTTGGGACATGTTATCAGGAGAAAGCAGTCCCTGAAAAAGGACACCACGGTTGACAAAGACGAGGGGTAGTGTAAAAGAGAAAGACCGTCGACAAGATGCATTTATACAATGGCTGTAATGACAGGCTCTAACATAATAAAGATGGTGAGGGTGGCATAGGACCAAGCAGTGTTTTGTTCTGTTGTACAGAGGGCTGCTATGTCATAGAGGGTCCCACTCTAAAAAAAAAAAACCTGCAATGAAAACTAGCTTTCCCCTAACAACAAGTTGGCATGATGACTTGGTCCTTGTCAAGTATTTTTGGGAGTCCCTCCTATAGTCCAGTTTGAGCAATTGAAATCTGATCCTGTGCTCTGATCACAAAACACTCAGGTGGAGCTCCCCACAACATCTTGGTCTGAGGTGTGCCCAGGTGTGTGGTGCGTGAACAGGTCTCAGGGCCAGATGACAAAGTGTGTCTTGAAGGGGGCTTCCCTGATCCCCAAGCCCACACTGATAACCACCTGGCAGTGATGCCTGGCTATGAAGATGCTCAGGGGCAAAGCTGGCTCCTGGATGCTGAGTCAGTCCCAACCCAGGGCAACCCCACACTCGGGGGACAAAACACTACCCAATTTTATACCATCTCCATGTGGATTGGACTCTTGGGATCTACAGAGTTTTCATTGGCTGGTTTCCAGAAGTAGACCGCCAGACCTGCCTTTCTAGTCCATCTTAGTCTAGAAGCTCTACTGAAACCTGTTCAGCATCCTTGTAACACACACGCCACAGCCAGAGGTGGTGGCTATCCAAGAGATGCATAGGCTGGAAATGGCACCTGGGTATCCAGGACAACAATGAAATTGGACTAAGACAGGGTAGGAAGAAAGACTCTGGGGTCTACTTCCAGAAAGGAGCCATGAAAACCTTATGGATCACAACAGAGTGCTGCCCAATATAGTCCCGAGAGATGAGACTCCGAGGTGGAAAGGTTAGCAAATTTCACAGGCTTCAATCATGGACTGGAACAGGCCAGTGATCAGGAAGATGGGTAACTTTTCATTCTGCTGTGCGTGGTTGGGGCTAACATAATGACCACACTATTATTGGCTAGGATTACACTGATAGCTGTGGTTACCTTTTATGTGCCACATATCCTCTGTCATGTTTGTGTTTATTGCATGGCCTATAAAATAGGAGTCACAATAGCCATTATTTTCCAGCAAGGTGATGAAGGGCAAGTAAGATAGTGCCATGCGGCTGTCAGAGGAGAGTCGGACACAGAGTCAAGAAGAGGTGTCAGTAGTACAGGAATGCAGAAGAAGGCCTACTGTCCACTTTGCAGGCCTCAGAGACCAGTTGCCCCTGGGGCATGGAGAGATGGTGCAAGGGCACACAGTAAGTAGAGTGCCAATGCGGGCCACCAAAGTCTCAACCAACTCCACCCAACCACCGTCTTCCCTCGTCTGTGAACAGAGGAGTTGGTGGCATAGAAAGAAAGAAAGTTCATCCCCATCTCTGAACGTTTTCTTTGGTGTGTGAGAAAGGGTCTTTACAGGAGGGGCACAGGCCGTTCCACAACTGTGTTCGTGCGCAGTGACTTCACAGGCAATAGCTTCTTTGGTCAAGGTGCCCCCACCTCCGCCCAGCATTGAAAGCGCCAGTGTGTACACTTGGCATTCATCTGAGAAACGCTGAGAGCTCTGCTCTGGCCCTTCATTCTGCAGTATCCATCTCCCATTTGTTCTTCATGAAAAGCAATTCCCCCAACCGTATGCCATGCTCAGCGATTTTGTCAGCAGTTGGCAAATGAGTCTTGCTATTTAATCTAATTAAGACCAGCATTACAGAACTCATATGGAACAGACAACTTAGTTGTCAGATCACCATAAAACCCAAACAAACACCTTTCCGATGGATATCTTCCGCTCTACAGTCTGCCTTATAGGAAGGCTTCGATTTTAAGAGGTGGGGTGCACATTCTCTAATTCAATCAGATGCATATAAGTGTCTTCAGTCGGTGGGGGGGGGGCGGTGAGAACTGGATGCGAAGGGGGTGAGGGACACTGCAGAGAGGGTACAGGTGACAGGAGAGTTCTGGAGCTAGACCGTGGGAATGGTTTCAGAGCATTGTGAATGTGTCTAATGCCACGGAATTAACCGGGCTGAAATAGTTCAAATCATAAATTAGATCGCAGGCACAATTTTCCTCAATAAGAATATACCCAACAGTCGCTCTATTTGGCTTTTAACATCACGATAAATGGAGAAAAGATGGAAGTTTTCGAGGACTTCGTCTTGCTTGAATCCACCATCAATGTTCATGGAAGCAGCAGCCACGAAATTAACTGACACACTGCACTGAGTAAATCGACTGCCCACAGTCTCTCGAAAGTATTGAAAAACAAAACTGCCACATTGAAGACTACGAATTGAGTGACTCAAACCATGGTATTTTTAGCTTTTAAAGACTTGTCTGATCACTTGCTGGGAGAAATGACCATCGACACATTCACTGGCCCAGAATGGCCGGGGTTCACACTCTGGCTTTGCAAAGGGCAAACTCCAAGTCCATGTAGGGGAGGCTCTTCGGGGTCTCCTCCGCGTGTGAAAATGCTGAATCTGTATCTATAAAAGCTCCCCAACTCCCTATGCTCTTCTGAACACCAAAGTGTCACGTAGGTTGACGAGTAGAAAAGAATGTCTGTCGTGAGCAGTATGCTTGTGGAAGAATTACCTACATGGGATCAAATGAACCCCCGCAATTCAAAAGATGAGGTCGAATGTTCAGGGCAGTGGTTCCGTGTCCCTGGAGGGGGGCAGCTCAGAAACCAGGGGTGAGAAGGGCCACTCTAGCAGGAAAGTGGGATCAGTGTTACTGACTCCTACAGGGCAAATGGCTGGACATATGTTCTCAGCAACAGCAAAATAAATCATTCTAAAATATGCTTTCAAAGGCATTTTGAAATGAGATCATTCCTACTGCAGAAAGCCAAAAGCAAACTCAGTGCCGTTGAGCTGATTCTGACTCACAGGGACCCCAAAGGACGAGCAGAACTGCCCCTGAGGGCTCCTGAGACTGCAAGGCATTCCAGGAGTAGAAAGTCTCATCTTTCTTTCATGGAGCATTGGGAGAGTTTGAACCCCCGACTTTCCAGTTAGGAGCCCAACTTGTAGCCCACTACGCCACCAGTGTGCTTGTCCTCCTGCATACGATCATCCCAAATGTAGACAAAACTGCCATTGACTCATAGCAACTCTATGTGGAATTCCCAAGACTGTAAGTCTGTCAGGAGCAGACAGCCTCAATTCTTTCCAAGGGAGTGGCTGATGTGTTAGAACTCCTGACCTGACAGCAGTTAGAAGCGGACCCCACCGTTTCAGCCACCAGGAATCCTTTCATAAGTTCGGGGCAGGATTGAATCATATACTAAATCGAATGGTCAATATGTGATAAGCGGGCCCTAAGCCTTAGTTTCTGCTCCCCCGTCCAGTGTTGGTCACCCCAGCCCAGAAGGAAACTTCCAGCCCTGGGTGACAATTGACAGGTGGCTGAATAAAGAGGGGTGGTTGGTGCAAAATTTACTGCAATATGCATATATTGGAATGAGTGGTTGCCTTGTTCTGTTTGCATAGAGTCGCTGTGGGTCAAACCCAGCTGATGCAGCTAACAAGCACAACATGGAAAATGGCAAACAGTTAGTACCCAGGTGCTCAAGCATTGGGCCCCCAGGGCTCCTTGGTAGACAGCTGGTGAAGGGTACATGAGCTCAGCATGTCTGCATTCAAGGCCCCAGTAGACTGTTTTGTGAGGCAGCAGAGGGGAGTGTGTACCGTCCAGCTTGCTAGGCCAGTTGCAGCTGTACTCAAAAGAACAGGGGCCATGGAAGCTGGAGAAGGAACAGCAGAGGACTACCAGGTAGTCCACACTGACCACGTGTCGATCCCTTTCAACACATGAATCATGAGATCAGCTCATGGCGCCAGCATCACATAGAGTTCAGAATCTCAAATTAACCTCATGCAATACAGAAAAGAGAACAATCGCTTCCAAATGCTATAGAGCCAGGTGAGGGACCAGATGGGTCAAGAGAGCAAAGTGGATCAGAACCTTGGTCTCCTTCGCTGTGTACTGGTGCTCATCATTGGACACCCGTGGGGGTGCAGAAGACGCGGGAGGGATTGTGCTTGAAGAAAGTGAGCGTGGTGCACTCCAGAAGGTCGCTGTTCAGTCCACATGGTCTTAGCCCAACGTCAAGTGGATTCTGACCCTGAACGAGCCCATGTGACAGAGGAGAGCTGTCCCACAGGGATTTCTAGGCTCTTCTCTTTTCAGGAAGGATGGCCATGACTTTCTCCCAGGGAGCATCAGGGTGGGCTTGAATTGCTCGTCCTTGGGTTCACAATCAAGGGCTCCACAGTTCAGCTACTAAAGCTCCTTGCCCAATGACCAGATTTCTTGTCTTTGAAGGTGTGCTATAGCCATTGGGACTGTACTCAATGCCCTGACCCTCAACCTACACTCACTTGTCCATGAGAGGAATGGCTCCCATCAGACCAGGCTTCACAGGCAAGAACGAGCTTACCTGCAACTGACCTTAGAGAAAACGATGAAATTGAATGAAACCGGAAAGGAAAGCCATTTCTAAATCACAAAAGTAAGCATAGCTTGAAATGAGTTGAGCAGATTTGCAAATGAAGATAAATACCGTGTGCTTATGGACAAGGCTAAGGCAACACATGCGGTATTGGTAGCTGCCGTGGCTCATCAGTCAGCTGAGCACTGGAGATTTCGTCTCCATGGGAACAGAAAGTAATATCGCATCACTGCTTGTAGATGGATTTTTTATTATTATTTCAATATTTAAAAAGTGATTTCTCCAGGTGATTGCTGCTGTTGTGTTAGGTGCTGGTTCTGACTCACAGAGACACGAGAATAAAACAAAGCCTGACCCTGCCCGCCATTCTCACCAGCTTTGCCATCTTGGAACCTACTGTGGCAGCCGCTGCGTCCATTCACATCATTGAGGGTCCTACCCTTGCTTACTGACCTTCTTCTTTATCACATAGGAGGTCCTTCTCCAGGGACTGGTCCCTCCTGATAACATGCCCACAATACGTGTGGTGGAAGCAAGCTATGGAAGAGTTTAAGCAGCCTCTGGCTTGACATCTTCCGAGCTGCCCAAGTGTTT